GCGCCTAAGGCAACAGCTAACAGAGCTACGAAAACGATGAGCAATTTCATTTTACTGAGTTTCTGCCGATTCAAGTTAATTACTTTCTGATTGCATTAAGAGCAGCACAGAAGCCTTTTATACTCTAAAATTATTGAAGTTTTAATTATTTTTTTCTTATTCAAATGATATATATGTAAAATATTTGTTAAGTTTTAGGCAGTAACGTATAATTGCAATTTGGTTGCTTTATAATGATAATTATCTTAACTGTAATATGTTATAAACTTGTTTTTGTGATAATGGTAATTCCTCTCCAGATGTGCAGAAAATAAAAACAAATTAAGTAATATTTATTTCAGTATATAAAATATAATATTAAGTCACTTTTTTAATTAGCAAAGTGTTGATTTGTAGAACACAAAGTTGACACTGAAAACCAGTCACATAAGAGCAATGTCTACTTAATGTATTGACTTCAAATATAGTCAGATGAACTCAAATAACATAGATACAGATGCAGATCCAAAAACATCAAATATATATAAAGCATAAGTGAATTTGAAACATTGAAAAAACATTATAAGCTATTATATATTGATTTTGGTTTAAGGTAATATTAATAATTATATTAATTCCATTCAACTTAATTTAATTTAAATAAGAAATAAAATACATAAGAACCTGTCAATTTAAAAAATCTTAATATCGCAAATCACTATTCAATTTTATTTCCATTCAAATACACTCGGCTTCAAATTTTATCTTAAAGATTTTCTGATTATAAATAAAAATTATAAACAAAATATTTTAATGACGTATGCACATTTGTTTCTATGCACAAAATAAAACAAATAAATTATAAAAAATTTCGATTGGGGAAAGAATTTTGTTGAAGTAGAAGAGAATTTAAATCAAATTCTCTTATACTTCCAAGCGCTCTCTTCAACTCAATAATTTCGGTGCTACTTTTTTTTAGTTGAAGAACTGGTATGCAATTCTATATTTCCTGCATTTCTAGTTCAAATATTATTCTGCATAACATGAAATTCGCTATTTGCTTTCTCCGTTTTAATTTGGTTACCTATGATATTTAAAATATCGAAATACAGATTAAAATTTTGGTATAAAAGTAACCAATCTGCATTTCTAGAGCATCCATTAAGTAGTGAACTTTCAAAGGAACAACACAAATCCAACAAAATGAAATTCGTCATTGTTTTAGCCGCCCTCTTCGCTGTAGCCTTGGCTCGTCCCAACGATGTTGAAATCTTGAAGTTGGAATCTGATGTGCAACCAGAATCCTACAACTATGTGTAAGTACAACTATTGGAATGATGGGAATGATATGAAAGAATATAACTAACACAAATATAATTCTTTTTATAGTCTTGAGACCAGTGATGGTACATCAAAGGTTGAAGATGGTAAATTGAAGGATGTTGGCACTGATCATGAAGCTATTGTTGTTCATGGATCATACTCCTGGGTAGCTAAGGATGGCCAAAAATACACAGTCACCTATGTTGCTGATGAAAACGGTTTCCAACCATCCGGTGCTCATTTACCAGTTGCTTAAATATTTTTAGTTTACATGTGAAAAAAATAAAAGAAATTTAAAACTTTAAATCAGAATATTATTTCTTACATACATTTATATAATAGATAAATTGAAATATGTATCCTCTATAAGTTAAGGAAATAACTTAGAAAAGCGTTAGATAGAAAAATAATGACATTAGAGACAGCAGGGATATGTATATATGTTCGAATTCTTTAAGCAGTGGTTCAATTATTTTCTAAAATTTTATTGCTCAAAGTTATTTTATGTAAAACATTGTTTGATTTCTTTAAGTATTGTGCAGTGAATCCACTAATCAGTGGAAGTAGGTTCGCTGAGGCGGGAGTGGCAGCTTTGTAAATCAAAGCTTATTTAACCACAATTAACGGCCTGTTGTAATACAACGGATGAGACATTGACCATATATCACACTTGAGAAATAATCTTTTAGATAAAAGTTCCCATAAAACAGTGCACAAAGAACGTCCGTTTATGAAGGCTCAATTCTGCCATTCTCGCGAAAGAGAAAGTGAAGAGACCGTAATGGCATATAGGTTTGGATAATGACACAAATGTTTAATTGCCTAATTTCTCTCCAGTGACATAAGTTCAAATATCGTTACATGAAATTTTTAAATCTTCAATCCATGTAATATAAGAAGAATAAAAAAGGAAAAAAATAATATTAACATATTTTTATTTCAATACTGAATAGTAGAAAGTTTAAATGGAAAGTTTTAATGTATATGGCCACAATTGCATGTTCCACGTATACATTTTTCATTGCTTGGGCCGATTTTGTGACAATCATTTGGATCATTAAGACGATGACCAGGCACGGTTGCCAAAAACTATTCGAAATGAACAAAATATTAAGAAACTCTTTAAAATTGTTTTGTGCAAACTGGGATAATGAAAATAACAGTTTATTAAATTTTGATAGAAGATTTGCGCAAATAGATGGTCTGTACCGGCTTCGTGTCACATAGTCCAATGGACGATTAAAGAGAGAGTGAAGAGTTCGGCATTGCAAAGACATATTAAAAATGTCCTATAGGAGCTTGTCAGTCACGCAAATATTTGTAACTGGTTATAAGATATAGTGTGTCCAGCACGATACGAGACATTGCACGTATTTTTTTGATACCGTGCGAGGCATCAGACAAATTGATCCCTTACCATGTGATCTTTTCAATTTCATCATGGAAGTAATCATGTGCAGGGCATATTTTCATGGTAATGGAACAATATTTTACAAATGTGTGCAGTTCCTTACTTACGCCGACGACATTGACATCATTAGGCAACTACGACGTTACAGCTGCCTTAGAATGAGCTTAGCGGTGAATGATGGCAAAACGAAGTATATGTCGGCTACTGGTAGAAATGTGCGAGTAGTGGCTGGCGACTATACTCTATAGGTCGCTCATCCTCCCTGTGCTTCTGTATGGCGCAGAAGCATGGACGTTATCACAGAATGATGAGGTAGCACTGGGAGTGTTCGAGCGAAAAGTTCTTCGTGAGATCTTTAGTCCTCTATTTGGCGGAAAAAGACTTAGAGATAGACGCAGACCGTGTCTTTGGTGGAGTAATCAAGTTGAGGGAGCACTAACTGGACTTAATGTACGAGACTGTAGAAGGTGCGCAAGCAGCAGAGGCGCCTGGGGAGACATGCTGCGTCAGGCCGAAATTCGGTAATGAGTTGTTATGGCCAAATAAGTAAGTAAGTAAGTAAGTTTAAATGAATTTACCCACAAGATCAGAAGGCGAACATAGAACATTTTTTAAGAATTTCACAACAATCGTGAGCTAGACTTCAATGATTTTCGTTCTAATTTCGATTAGATATTCTAGGTAGTTAGTTTTTGTTGTATTATAGTGCACCATTGTAAGAAGACATCATGGTATGTGAGATCAAAAATCGACCATCGATATTATTTATTATTCACAATATTAATCTGATATGGTTCTGTGAGACTGCTAGCTATTCCCCAAACTAAAATTGACAATGAACGAGGAACGTGTCGAAACCATGTCGGTAATCTAAAAGTCTTTAACTGATATATTAAAAACAATTTCAGTAAATAAGTTTAAAAAATTTTTACTCTTAAGGTCAGTGGGTTATTGCACCGATTTCCTTTAACCTAACTGTTTATCTTTAAAAAGTACTCTCATTTTTTAGTATTATACGTTATGTTTTTATAAATGGCGAAATATTTCCTTCGACATTTTGTTGAATTCAGTGAAATTGATCTGCTCTATCACTAGTCGGCCCTTTATGACACAAAGGCATCTATCCACATTAGGTCCATCCAGCATTGCTAATGTAATCATTTTCTAACTCAGGAAAGGTATATACTTTTAAAAGTCTTTTCTGTCAGCTAGCACCTCTGTGGTATCACTATTACCACTTCTTAGAATCTTAATGAAGATGTTTTCCATAACATGGGCAGTCGTTAGCATTTATCTATCTGTGTGTCAGTGTGTCCATACTGATTACATCAGGTGGAATACAGAGTTAACTATTGTACCTTTATGCAAAAAAGGTAATGTTATATCGTATAATATAATATATAGCTTTTCTGTTAATATCATAGTGTTGTATTTGAAAGAAAATACCTACATTTCTGAATTTTTTAAATTTGCTTATATTTCCTTAAAAAAAGAAATTCATATAAAATATTTATCAATTTAGTTTAGTTATATTTACTAAAATATATAACTTAAAAAAGATATTGTCTGCAATACTGTTAAATTCTTTTTTTAGAAAAAGAGAATCATTTAAATAAAAATAAACAAATATTTGCAACAATAATAAAGCTTCAAAATAAATCAGATATCAAACATTAGTTCACAGATTTTAATGAGAAGAATAAAATAAATTCGTTGAAAAGTTTTATGACCCTTGCTGACTTTTTATAAATATTTTTGCATAATCAGGTAGTAAATTTCACTCCATTTTATGCAAAATTTATATTTTCAATACTAATAGCTGCACTAAAAAAATTAACTGAATTAATATTTTTTAGTTGGTAACAAACAAAAATTAATATTCGAATAACAAATTAAAACACTTAATCCAGTTTTCATTAAACTTATGCATTTTTAGCATTCGTAGTATGCAAATGTTTCGTACAGAATTCACCTATGATATTTACTGTTAGAAAGATCATCTAAAATTTTAAGTATAAAATACACTTGCCTGCATATCAAAATCATCCATTAAGTCTTGAACTTCCAAAGGAACAACACAAATCAAACAAAATGAAATTCGTCATTGTTTTAGCCGCTCTCTTCGCTGTAGCCATGGCTCGCCCAGGTGATGTTGAAATCTTGAAATTGGAATCTGATGTGCAACCAGAATCCTACAACTATGCGTAAGTTCAACAGGATATGAGGATAATAAACAAGGATAAAATTAATACAAATAAAATTATTTTTATAGTCTTGAGACCAGTGATGGTACATCAAAGGTTGAAGATGGTAAATTGAAGGATGTTGGCACTGACCACGAAGCTATTGTTGTTCATGGATCATTCTCCTGGGTTGCTGATGATGGACAAAAATACACAGTCAACTATGTTGCTGATGAAAACGGTTTCCAACCATCCGGTGCTCATTTGCCAGTTGCTTAAATAGATTAATAGATAGATTAATTAAAATAAGAAGACAATAAATAAAAGAAATGGTGTATTAAAACACAAAAAATTTTCTTTAATTTTTTTTAATCGTAAAACATCAAATTAGTTGGACAATTTCAATTCGTTTTTAAACTTTAAAGAATTTGTTTAATTAATTCACTTTATTTGGTGGGCGATTTATTATTATCATTCCCCTAATCCCTCCTGGGATATGCAACTTCACTTCAGTGAAATCTTTCATATATAGATTCAAAACTATTCTTTTTTGCCTATTGAACCGTTATCGACAGAAGCAAAAGGAATTTGTAATATAAATTATAAATAATTTTAAATAAAATTATAAATAAAGAAGTTTAGCAGTGAAAAATGAAATCAAATTTTTTCTTAAAAGTTTTAATTTAATTTTTCCAAGCTTGTTAAAGTTGTCTGCAAAAAAGTTTAAAGGGACCCAGAGGACGTGATTGATTTGCTCCAAACAAATTCGATTCCCCTTTTGTGTTTGATATTTGAATACATAAGCTTATTTATAATTAAAGTGAAATCTACTATTTTTTCAAAGCATTATTTTAGTTTTTTAACTAAAATATGATTAGTTTCGACTAGTTTTGTTTCTAGTAAACAAAAATAAACTGACAATTGCTAAACAATACTTTCGTAAATAGACCGAAAAAAATTGTGTATTTTACCAAACTGGACTGCGTGTAGTACCTTGTGGTTTTTAAGTTACTACTGCTTGATAAATATTATTATCTCCTGTAGTTCTCTTCTATGGAAACTCCTGTTTTATTCCCTGCTCCTGCCAGCCACAGCCGTAGGCAGATTTATGGCCTTTCCGACATGCAAATAGGTATTAAGCTCTTACTTTTTCAGCATTCAGGTCACGGAATCTATGGCCAATTTCTCTCAAAACATATAACCTCTGTACACATAATACACAGAAACAAATCAAAGTTATTTATGTTAATATCTGCTTTAAGGGAGAACTGGTCTATTAAAAGAAGGCATGGTGCCAAGCTCGGTCTACCCTGTAGTATCTCTTGTAGTATATGCCTACCGGCGGTCGAGGAAAAGACACCAGAATAGCTGTTGTGTCTACGTCCAGGTTTATCCAGAACCAGGCTTAAGCTTTTAGGTCCCCTTTTCCTTAACACTTCAACGATAATTCCAGTTTTACATTGGCTATACATTTGTATTTATCATTATTTCCGGCTGTTTCTAACATGCTCATTCTTCTCCCTTCACTTCACTTCACCTTACCTGTAGTTCTTCATTTGATATTGTCTTATACACATACCACGATATTTAAAGAATATTTTGCAGAGATCTAATTATAAAATGTTATAATTTTACCTTGTTTTGATCACTTCCTTGGTTCAAAACACTTAAAAAAAACGTTTTGTATAGAAACA